TAGGTACCAGTTACCTGAGCCCAAGCTCACTGGAACCAATGCTGATTCCAACTGATTTCCACCAGTGTTGGACCAGACCCCAGGCCACCACACTGTGCCAACCAACACTGGACTGCAATTTAGGCATTTGAGGCTGGTCCCAATGATCTCAATGCCATCAAAGATTTCCAAAGACACCAAGGGAAGGAAGCAGTATTTGGGCTCCTGTACGCAAATGGCCATCACCAATGATGCACTGCTGATCCATCTTGAAGGCTTGAGCCTTTGAGCAGGTGCATGAGATAACTGTGATGTTTTAATTACCCCCATCCCTAAACTACCTTTATTGGGAGCTAAAAACATCCTGCCTTTCACAGGGAACTCCAGTCCAGCTTTCACAGGTCCCACTGTGGTGTCATGGAGACTGAAGAGCAAGAACAGGGAGAGGGACATGGTCACTGTGCAGACTAAGGGCAGCTAAAACACAGGTTTCCAGGGACATCTCTAATTCCCCTTGGCAACCAGTTCACCCCATAAGATGGGGCAAGTATAAACATGCCAATACAGCCTAATTTTAATATGTTGAGCAGTGGCTGCCCAACCATCTACATACAATGCTGGAGAGGATCATCTCTGCTCACAGCTCTGCTAGCTCAACCTTTGCAAGAAGATTGCTCCTGCCTCTCCTGTCACAGCGACTGGAATTCGACCTTGCTCAGGCAAGAGCCCCTTAGTCTTTAAAGGGACATCTTCCTGCATTACAACTGTCAGATTGTGCCCATAGGGCTAACATGTAAAAGCAGTATTTATTTTTAAATACCTTCCTGCTTCACATGAGATTTCAGTTCCAAACAACATGCATCAGCATCAACTTTTTTTTAAAAATCCACACACAAACAATATTTATCATCCAAATACCCTTTAAAAGCTCAAAGGCTGACATATTAAAGCCAAGAAGTCAATTTTAAAAATATATATATTTCTAATTTGTTTATAAGAAATATATGTTGCTGGTCCACTGATATGGAGAAAAAGCTTGTACCTGAAATTAATTAAAAGAATCATATTCAAAAAGATATGCTTGTCTGCTGAAAGGCAATATATTGCACCTCCACATAACTCTGCTGACCCCGTGGTCATCTTTACAGGTATAACAAATCAGGGGTTTTGAACGGTGTTTTTTTTGGTTGGGTTTTTGTTGTTGTTTGGTTTGGGTTTTTTACAAGTATGGAAAAATTCTATTCACTCCTGAGGTTACAGAGAATGCAATAAAATGCCTACATTTTCTCAGTCTCACATGAGATTTACTGATGTCATTCACTTCTTTTCCAAAGGGCATGCATTTGAAGCATGAGGGTGGAATGGAGGCAACTAGGTATAGCTAACACCTGTGTGTATATATATGTATATCAATATATACATACACATAAAGAATTGTGGGAGGAGAGCAAGACATACACAATAGTCTGGAAGCAGAACTCTGGGTAGAGGCAAGTTGATCCTAAGTGCAGGTGGGGGGAAACATGACACTCCCACAACCTCTGCTGTCCCTGAAAGCTGTGATGGGAGATTCATCCTTGAAAGTGTGTTTTAAGGCAGAAGTAGATGATTGAGAGAAAACTGCCATTCACTGAGGATCTTCACACTATGAAAGAGGTATCAGATAAACTGATAACTGAATTTGTGTGTCTGGTGAGGAGAGGAATCACAACAAAGTGCATTTTACTATTGCCAAGCATAGCTTATTCAGCTCTCCAGAAATCAAATCTGCTGGGCAGTCAGTAGCTGCACTATTCCATCATCTTGTCAGGATGGAAATGGCCAGCTGAAACAAACTGGTATCTGCTTTTCAAAAACTGGTGGACAGCTTGAACCCTCCCAGTCTTCAAATGAATGCACACTGTCAACATTAATAGGAATAAAATCAAATCCTTGACAACTTTAAGGAGTTTAGTATGTAGATTTTCTTGGAATAAAACAATAATTTCCCTATGTTCTCCCAGAAATAGTGACAGAGTGCATCATGTTTTATAAGTCCTTGCAAAATGAATCATCCACTTTCTTGGGACAGCATCAGAACTCACCACACACAAAAAGAATGAAACAACTCTTTTAGTAATGCATTAAGACACATAACTTGTCTGTGACCTGATTTTAAGGGCCTTTTTTTCCTATCTGTGGAAACATGAGTGGCCTTAACATTTCTGTTTCTTTCTCACTGCCATCAATTCTCCATAACTGTAACACTGCAAGCAAAAGCTCCCCTCCTCTTTCAAGAACAAAACCATCACAGCATCTGCTTCTCATAAGCACATTTGTGCGTGTAAGTGTGCGTGTATGGGGTGGGGGGTAAATCTGCTGAATTAAAAAGTTAAAGTTTAAAAAGTTAAACTCAAAAGTTTGTCACAGGGAAGGACTTTCTCTTTCCCATCCTTCAAATTGTAGAAGGTAGAAGTAGGGCTACTGCTATGCACTTGTGCTTTTACTTCCAATTTGTTTGTTAGTACAGGGGATTGTTAGTGACTGAGGAAAAAAAAAAGAATTTATTTGACTTTCAAAGTCGATTGACTGGTGCATGAATGGCTATAGATGACAGCAAGTTTTTATTGGCACTTGTCTCCCAGAGCCTGCAGAGCAACCGAAGTTCTTTCAGCACACTCACAGGTTCAGCAGTGGAAACTGGGCACATAACAGTAGTCCTTGAGGTGGAAGGGGCAAGCTTCACCACATATTCATTCCTGTTACCCATCAACTCAATAAAACAATCCAGAAATGGATTCCAGTGCAAACTGTGGGCCTGTTTTTTTTCCTGTCCCATTCTGCTTTGACATCTATAGTGAATAGGAGGAGGTCCCTCATCATCTGAACTTACAAAAAGGAAGGCAATGAACTGACTGCTCTTGCTAGACTTCAAAATATTTCAAGAGTCAAACACACTATACCTCAAAAAGAAATGTTGCTTTTTCTTTTGCTCCCCCTGCCACCCAAACTCTCCAGCCCTGAAGTTCAAAGAAGACAGATCACTTCTTTGCCTTCCAGCTTTGTCAAGTCTAGAAAAAATTTTAAAAAAATGAAATAACATTTTAAAAAGCTTGGATTTTTTTTTTTCCTCCCAGTATTTCTAATACTGTCAGAATTCCTAAGTCTGAACTTATTCTTGAGATATTTCCTGAACTATACTGTCCTGATAAGCATGTGAACTGTGGTAGCTATTACTATGTTCCCTCCCATATAGTTTTCCTATTGTATTAGAAATTCATTGACAAATTGAGGAGCTAGCTCCACCAGAGCAGCAATAATATATAGAACTGTCATGAGAGTGAAATTCATTAAGAGAAAGAAATGCTGATGGACTACAAAGATGAGGAAGAAAACCTCACCTCATTTAATTCAGCATCCTAACACAGAAACTACAACCCTACTATTTTAAAGTAATATTTAAGCATAGTCCATTCAGCACTTCAAACTTCAAATCGGCAAGGTACACACTTAAGGGTCTTGCCAAATTGTGACATAATCCTAATGCCTCCAGTGCCAGCATGTCAAGCTCTCTCACGTGGCAAGGCAAAACACTCAACACCTCATAGGAGCAAGTTCAGAAAGCCTGGAGAGAAGCAGCAGCACAGGGAGGGAGGCCTGAACCTCGGAGTGGCATGCACATCCCAACACTCCCCCTCCCCTTTCACACGCAGATCCATGTGGTCTCCACCTGACAAACCTACATTTACAATGCTCATTGCCTTAAAATTAAACTGTTTCTTATCTCAGCCATGTGTTTATGTCTTGGTTTCCACTTAGCCAGTTTGTCTTTCAGACAGTAATGTCTGAAAACAGTCGTAACAGAAATAAAATAGGTTATAAGAGCCTTGGGAAATATTACAGAGGGACCCTGGGTGCACAGAGCAGAAAGGCAACATCTCCAAGCAATAGCTAGGATCTGGCAACCCATGCTGCGATCCTGCGCTCAGCCCTACCTAAGCACATGCTGATGCTCGCACTGGAGTCACCAGGGTTGGGCATGAGGGCTGACCCAGCTCCATCCCGTCGCAGGACTGAGGCTGTCAAGGGTAATCTTGCAGCCCTTACTCAGGACTGCATCGTGCTCACCTTGGCTTCAACTAAAGTCCTTATTATGCAATCAGACCCAAGGCCCAGGCCAGACATGGGGTTTCCCAAACACCTTGCAGAGCGCTGTGGCTGGACATGGCCATGTAATTTCCAAGTTCAGATTCTTACCCAGACAGCAGCCAAGCCTGAATTTATGCATGCTGAGCACATGCAACTTCTTAAGAAATTCAAGATCTGCAGCTGGGGTCTCATAAGGCCCACAGCAAATCTTAGGTTAGACAAACCGATTTTGAAGTCAACAGGAGTTGAAAATTCCAGCGCTTTCCTTGAGGTGCTCAGCAGACAGATCAGGCTAGTTGAAAATATTTTGTTTCCAGAAGTCACACATTTTATAAAACTGACATTTCTTTCCTGAATATTGATGTTATAAGTTACCACCCTTGAAATGGCTTAGCTGAAAGTCCTGCCACATGAGTTAAAATAAGAGTATACTGATATTTATGAGCACTATGAGGGCCTGAAACATAAACCATAGGGGACTGTGTTCAACAGCTTCAATGGATCATGGATGAGGCCCAAACTCATGTCTGATTTAAATCTGTAAGAGTATTTGGTCCATTTTGAAAGAATGGATGGGTTGGAAATGCAGTTCCTGTAACCCCAGGCCTTTCTCCATGCTAAAGGTGTTTGCAAGTTTCTGACAATCAGCACAGCACAAAGCCACCTTTAGAAGCAAGAAAATAAAAACACCCTTACTACAATCTAACACCAGCAGGAAAAGTATTTGGCTGAAACTTTAGGTGCGAATTATACTTGCTTAAGCTAGAACAAAAGGACAAAAACATCAAAATCTAATAATGTGGAAACAAGGAAGGTTTAGCTCTTTAAAAAGAAAGGAAAGATAGACATTTGAGGTAACAAAACAAAAAACCCAAAATGCACAAACACATCACAGACATCTAAAAATAGCATTTTATACATTTTTTGCCAGTGCTTCTCTGAGAGCAAGTTCTTTAAACAGAACTTAACAATTTTACAATTTTTTTTAAAAAAATATGTCATCCTAAAATAGCCCATCAATCCTTACCCAAACTTTCTGTATTTCTACAAAAATAGATGCACAAAGAGCTACAAAATACTGTATTCCTGAAAGGAGGCGCACTGTAGTCAAGGGAGAGTCTTTTTCCTGACAATTGAGATTGTTCATAAAAATATCAAGCTGAACAAAACAAAACACTGTTAAAGGAGCAGAAAGGAGTTAGGTTGCCCAGCTGCAGCAGGCTCAGATGAGGAAAGAAAGAAAAGTCAGGTTTTTGTTTTTTTCCAACACTGTGGGACCCATAAATGGCCTTACAAACAAAAGGCTCAATAGCAAAACCAGAATGGTTGGCTCTTCATCTTCATGTGTGTCCTTTGCCCCATGCAGGAGTCAACAACTGTTATATCGCCCGCCCAGCTGCGCTTACTCAAGCTCTTGCTGGTCTTAATTTAGCTGAACTTCAGAACCAAGAAGTTTCCTTGCTCTTGTCCTGATGCTGTAGACCTACATTTCAGAAAAGAAAAAAAAATTAAAATTTGATAGAGCTTTTTCCTCCCCCTCCCCAAGCAACTGAAGGATAAACATTTTTTATTTTAAATAAAGAAAAAAAACCCTACTACTTACCAGCCTAGTAGACTTGTTAGTAACATTGCTATTGCTCCCAATTTTATAGTTTATGTGGGATAAGCTTAAACCACACTTAAGTTTTAGACTGGCTCAAGCAGTTCAGGAATGCTGATAAAATGCTGTATGCGCTTCCTTGTTTTGGCCTCGTTCAGAGCATGGCATGGCATGATAAAATCCTCCAGCAAGGTCTGCACAGACAATCCAGTATGCAACAGAATAATTTTTCCTGATAGGGACCAGCCACAGACCCTACCTCTTTTAGAAAAGGCCTGTGACACTTTAGGATCTCACAGTTTCTATGGCATTTCACCTTACGGAGGAGAGAGGGAAAATGTTCCTGCAGCAAGTAAAAAAACCCAAATAATTTCACCTACAGACTGTCAGATTTTTAGCCAAGAACGGCTAGTGCTTCCACATGGGAAAAATTAATGATTTTCAGCTTGCATTTGTTATGAGTTCCTCTAACATTTTCCTTTATAAAAAGTGAGGACTATCTAATAAATGTGGTGCTATGTTGTGGCTTTAGCATTATAGACTTGGAACCTGTGTTATAATCTGGGATTTCTCTGCTCCAGAGGGATCCAATGTTCGCTAGATTTACACCCAACAGGGCGTATGCCTAAAATCCAGACAACAGGGGGGGAGGTGAGGATGAAACTTTCCAAAGAAGATACGTTCATGCTCATTTATAGGGAAAGTAGAAAGGAGAGAGGTGCAGGCACATATTTTAAGAGGTAGTAAGGCACTTAGGACTCGCTGATTTAAAACCTGCCCCTTGATGTTTTGAGCCAAGCAGCTCACATTTTGTGAAATGAAGGTGAACTTCCCACTATAAATCATCACTGCTACACAGACAGCAATGCTCCACTCTGTGTCATACTATATCTTGCCCTGCTACATAGTGTACCAAGACCAATGCATCAATTACCTGATCTGCTAAGAATTTAGGGCCAATTTCACCACTAATGTAAGTAGACGCAACTCCAGACCTCAGTGATGTTGCAACCATTGAAGCTCCATGTTCATTTGATCGTTAACCTGTGAAAATTGACATATCCATGTGCTAAGCATGGATCTCTCATTTCCATATCTGATCACATAGTGAAATGCAAAGGCAGACCCATACATTTTCAGAAAGCCTAATAGGCATAATGGGTTCAGATCTGACAACCACCTCCCTTGTTTTAGGAATACAAACAGTTAAATCTTTAATGATGATCAACATCATTTCAGAGTTGAGCTACAAAGCAATTAACAGTCACATAAAAGATGACAGCATACGTCTCTATCTATGTGAGGATTCCCAAGCAGTGTCCAGACACTTGTGTGTCCAGCAGTGAACAGAGAGTGACAGCAGAGCACACAGGTACAGCATGCCAAACCCTGTTCCATGGCTTTCTGCTCCATTTCACATGCATTTGCACCCATTTCTTTAGATTGGAAAAACTGAGATATCCCTCAACTAAAGCACACCTATAAAAACATGTTCACTCAAGGAGGATGTCTCCTTGTTGCTTAGGAGTTACTTGTTTTCCTGGCAGCATCATTTACAGGCAGAGACATCAAAAACTGCTGCTAGTTTCCTTCAAAGCTCCCTCAAAGTTAGTGATGACAATTTTGTGTTATTTTTCCTCTACTGTTTACAATTTTTTTAAACAAAGACAACAGCAACAAAAAAAGAGGGAGTCAGACAGCAGAAACCTGTAAGAGTGTAAGGAAGTCATTTAAGTTCACCAGTGGAGGCCCAAAGGCCACCAGAAGCAATGGAAGCTGTTTAGAAGAGAAACAGGTTATATAGCTCCTAGCAGCTTAAAAAAAAAAAAAAAAAGAAGAGAGACACACACACCTATTTAAGAGGATGTCCACCTGATGGCAGCAACTGGTAGAAGAGGAATAACCAGACACCTTCCTAGTAAGGTGTCTTTGCAACAAACAGAAATAACTGTAACAAGGAGGTTTAAGGTATAGCTGTTAAGTCTAAACAGCCACAGAAAACAATCAAAAAAACCAAAGTTGTCTTAGTTACAAAACTGAATGTGGAACACTTTCTATGCCTCTTCCTCATTATATTCCCACCTCATTCATGGCAAGGCTATCTGCAGTCCTAGTATGTCAACCAAGTGCAACCCTGTTACTAACCAAAAGCTTTCACTTGCAGCCTGCTGCAAGAACATTCTCCTTTTAGCAAAGACATCCTTGCTTGTGCTGCATGAGTCAGTATTGCCACACCAGCACAACTCCCCATCTCTGGGACACCAACTCTATAGCTAATTGCCACACAGGCAGAACACAGGTTCTGTGGGAACTTCTAAACAAACTTAATGAGCTGTGACAAACTTGTGGAGTATGTGTGAACAGAGACAACTCTACATAAGACGGTAGACAGACCACTCAAATTCCGTATTCAACGTGACACACTGATGTACAGGCTTTTCCAAAAGTGAACTTTCCATAGTTAGCCAAGACTAGAGGATGTCAATTAATTCACCTAAAGTTATGCACCTCAACATGTATAACTGTGCATGATAAAGGACGTGCACCTCAATTTTAAGATAGACTTAACAGCCCTCAGATATACCAAAATCCTGCTCTGCTTTTAGTGTGCTGGGGCTACAGGAAGCCTCCTTTAGCACATCTGTCCAACAGCAGGACAGGATATCCTCCTAGGCTCTGCAGTAGCAGGGCAAGTTGCTCTGCTATCCTCCCCATGGGGCTGCCTGCAGACCTGGCAGCTGCCAGAGCAGCCGGATCCAACTGATCACCTGAAGCGCCCGGTGTGCAGGGCAGCCTCCCACCCTGCTCCTGAGGAAAACACTGACGGCCGTAACTATCTGCTCCACTGCGAGACGTCAGTTCCCCTCCCCGCCTCGCTGGTCTTAAGTGCTCAACTCGGTTTGTGCACCCTTAACGTAAACATGAGGATTTAGCCCCGACACTGTGGGATTATGGCTGCAGCAATGTTCTCTGCATGTGTGCTGTGAACTGCAGTCAGTGCTGTTAGGGGCTGACTTTGCTTTGCTTGGCATTGGCGGGGCAGGGAATTGTGGTCTAAAGCACAAACATGTTGTGCTTATATCAATGTGTGTTTATATCAATCCTTGATATAAACCAGACTTTTCTATTGAGCATTATAGCTTGGGCACTTTGGCTTTGGAAAGACACTGCATACCAGCAGCCACAACCATAACAGGTTTTAATAGATTTTTGATGTAGACTAGCATTTTCTTTAATCCCACTTGTACCAATAAAGAAGCTTCCAAAAGGGTTAATTTGCAGCACGCAATGTGAGGATTAAGCTACATTTAATGGGAATCAGGTAGCTAAATCCCTCTTCATCCTCTAAAACAGGACCATGTAAGTTCAAACAGATGTGCGAGACAGATCAATACTTTGTTAGCTCTATGAATGGTGATACGTTGATGTCCCACACAATCTGTTCTGAAACATAAATTCCCAAACTATACTGTGCATGCAAGGGGAACCCCCTCTTAACCTTTGAAGTGATTCAGCATCATCCATTCATGAGATCGAATATTTGGCTCAGTATGGCAGAGATGCAACAATGTAGCTGGAAGAGGGTAAGATTACAGCCAGCCTGCCCTGATCCCAACACTATCATTCCATATAATTCAGCGTGAGGAATTTTGCAAATGTTTCTATAATCGCATGTGACAGTAGCACAAGAAATGTGACCCACAGTAAGGGGGGGGGAGCAGGGAATCATTTTCATATCTGAAGGGCTCTGAAAAGCAATGTCTAGATATATATACCAAATGAGCTTTTTTGTATAAATCATCTGAAGCTTATGGAATCTGATATATTGACAGCTCCACAGTTTGATGTCTTTTATTCACCAGGGACATATGAGCAAAGACTTCCAGAACTGAAGTTTTCTTGCCACTATGGCCTTACCCTACTCTGGAGAAACCACTTCTATGCTGCAGAAAGCCAGTACATTCTTCCAGGCCCTTCAGTTTTTAGCCTCTCTGTCAAGATTGCTGTCTTACATTAGAGTTAAATGTAATGAAATTCTATGTGATATGAAGACTTATCTGGTATAAACCTCCCCTGGAGTGGACACGGAGCAAGAAAAGCTTCAACTGTCCTGGTGAGTGCCGGATGCTTCAGTGTGGTGCTTCAGCAGCACCCCCTCTCCCCGGCAGCACACGATACCTTCCCCAGGATGACACCAGTTGAGATGCATGCAAAACACTGGGGCAGTTAAGCTCCCTCTTTTCACCATGATCATGCCTCAAATGCCTGTCACCAAACCATTTGTCTCAAATCTACAAGCTGCAGACAAGGCTGAAAAGGGAGCTCAGAGCCCTCCTGCCCTTCCCAGCAAGCCTCTGCTTGGAGAGCACAGGACACATGAGTGTGCAGGGTAAGAGAGCAAATAATTGTAATGTCACAGGCTACCACTGCCTGCTGCATTTTGTTGCTTGCTTCCTTCTTTCTAAAGCCCTACATGCCTAACTGGGGCTGCCTGATAAGGTTTTGCTGTTGTGTTTCAGTACATGGCCATTTTGAATAGTCACAAACAAGTGAGACATTGCTCTGCTGAGATCCTCTGTTCCTGCAAACTAGTCACACATTTCTCCTCTTTCTTACCCCCCACAGGAACTCATGGACTAAAACCCACACATCAGGCATGGGCCAGAAATTAACAGTTCAGGCCTTCTCCACTGCCTCCCACGCTGAGTAGATAACTACAAGACATGCGAGTCACTGTTAAGCACTGCCAAATCAGGATTCTGATAAAATTAGCATCCAGCTGTACCCCTCCATAGGGATTTTCACAAGAAGCAGGCAGCACCAAGCAAAGGCTATATTAGTCCTGTAAGGCAGTGCTAGGACCCATAGTCCTTTTTGAGGTACTGTGCTCCTACAGAAAAGAGAACAAGCAACTGGTTTATTACACGTACTACTACCAACAAAGTAACAGTAAGCAAACCAACTTGCCCAGCACTGAAACAACTCACAGCCTAGCCTGGACTCATACCTAAGCCAGGTAGTGGTTTCTCCAGACTAGCAATCCCCTATGCAGTTCTTGGCTCCATCCCCAAAAGGTAAATCAAATACCAGAGCTCTGGAGCTGGACTGCTGGGACTACTGTCAGATCAGGGGGCTCATCCCCTCTACCGGTGGCAGTGACAATTTGCTCACACGTCAGAGAAGGCAGTTCACTCCCATTATGAAATTTGTCAGAAAGGCAAAACTTGAGATGCCAGTCTTGTCAGATTATCATTTTATAACCAAAAGCACAAAATATAATTCCTCTTGTATCATTGGCATGGCTGGAAATGTTCTTAATACTTATAAAATTGTCAAGTGTTAAGAATCTTATTATGCCTTTTCTTAATTTCTTGAGGCAGCAAGCGGCATGGTATTTAGAAGAGATTATTGGTTCCCAGTTGCTATTAAGGGAAGAGAGAGAGATTTGTGTTAGGTTAGCTCAGTTATAATCAGGTTCATACTATTTCATATTTAAGAAACAGCAAATTTTTTTGCACCAATTCTTTGTTCCTCTGCACAATGATCAAAGCAAGGAAGTGCTTCTCACACGTTGAATCAGTTAGCTAGAGCTATCAAGAAGACAGACAGACACCTTAAGGAAAAAGGAAGAGAGATGCAAACCTAGTATTTCCTTAATAAATAACATAACATGTTTAAGAAGTACTAATCTGCAAGGATTGCTGCTGGTCAGATAAATACCAAGCAGAAAAAGGAGACCTCAATAGTGCATATGAGCTCCAGGGTGGGTGCACTGGAAAGTGTCAGTCACCCATCACCTGATCGCAAGCAACTATGAACGGTGAGGGCTGCTAGTCTGCTCCTAACACTGAGATGAGAGCCTGCCAGTCAAAGATCGCAGATGCAGATGTAGTTTATGGAGGCTGCCCTATGGCTACAGACCCTGCAGTAAAATGAATCTAATTCACAGACCTCTGCCTAGACCCTACAGAAAGAAGTTTTTGTTTGATGGCAAGCACAGCTCAGCCAGCATCTCTATGCTCTGTGTGACACCTGGATACTACATAGAAAGGAAATGCTGATCTGTTCCAATTTAGATGAGTGAGATGCAATCCTCATGTACTGACAAGTTATTAGTTCAGTCCTCATTGGAGCTATATTTTGGTGAATGCACGTACAAACTAGCTGAACAAGCTGGAAGCTTCCACATGGAAGTTTAATTAATCATTTCCCACAAGATTTAAACAAAAAAACATGTATCATGTCACAACTCATTTGGCTTGAATGGGACCAAGGCAGACAAAGATCTCTCAGTAAAAGGCAGCAAGAGCTGGATGTTTCACAGCTCGTCTGCCCTGACAGCAATTTCAGGAGGGATTCCCACCTGGAAATACATTTGGAGAAGGCTCTGAGAACAAACCCAGCTTCAGCTGCAGGGAGTCCACTTCTTTGCTCAAATTCTTCCTGCTAAAACAAGTCACAGACAGAATCAAACCATCTTACCTGTGTCAAACCCAAAAGTTGGCACAATGTCCACCGTTCCATGAAAGGCTCCAGCCCATGCTGAGGTAGCGCTGGTGACAGCAGCAGGATCTGTCTTTGTCACGTCACACTGGGGAGCAGGAATCCTGGCTGTGCGGACTGAAGGCATCAGCAGGGACCCATACCGGGGGTCACGGTGCGAGCTGGGATGATGATGGTGCATGTGTGGATGAGGGTGATGGCGATGCATGTACACGTCATGCATGTGTGCATATGAAGGGCTCACCTGAGATGCTAAAGGATAATGCCAGGATTCAGATGCAGCAGGGGGAGGAGGTGGGGCAGTCTGATGAAGGCCGTGTCCTGGCCAGCTGCTGGGATCTGGTGTTGGGAAGGTGCCTGGTGCAGTAACAGGGAAATCAGGGTGTACTCCACTTAAGCATGGTGGCGGGGGAGGCTGGTAAGAGCTGGTCCAAAATGAAGTTGGGAAGCCGCTCCTTTGGCTTGAAATTGTTGAGCTTTCTGGTAGAGAGGAGAGAAATGAAGTGTGACTGAAGCTGAACAACAAATTTAATGGCAAAAACCCCACAATGATTTTCTACTCTTTCAAATTTGTAACACTGAACTCAAGCTTCCCCAGCAATTACAGAATCACAGGACAGTTGAGGTAGGAGGGGACCCTCTTGAGATGATCTAGTCCAACCCTCCTGCTCAAGTGAGGTCACCTGGAGCAGGCTGTACCAGGACCATGTCCAGTCAGATTTTGCACGAGATCCAAACTGCACAACCTCTCTGGGCAACCTGTTCCAGTGTTTGGCCACCCTCGACAATAAAAAAAAAAAAAAAAAAAACCGTTTTCTTCTAATTCATACCTATTGCCTCTCATCCTGTAAGCAAGCATTGCTGAGGAAAGCCTGGCTCCCTCATCTTCATTTCCTCCCATCAGGTATTTGTATATATTGACAAGATCCCTCCAAGAAGATTTCTCCAGGCTGGAGAGTCACAGCTTTGTCAGGATCTTGGTACAGGAATTATGAGGAGAGGCTAACTCCTGACTGGACCAGAACACATCATTTAGAAAGGCAGCCGTTGTAGCTGTAAATGCTTCTGAGGACAGAGAACCAGGTCACACTGCAGAATACAAGACATTTGGCTAAAGGAAGAACACCAGATCTTCTCAAACTAATTGCATGCTTTGATGGGATAAAGATCGTATCTAATGCATCTCATGTTAGTCCCTTATAGAATGCCCTGTACCAATAATCTGACAAGAAGAATCATCTATGTAACTGAAAGAACTTTTTGTCAGAAACAAAAGACTCGCTGCTTCTTACAGCTAGGGCTCAACTTATATTTAAATGGCTTCCAATACCTCTACATTATGAAAACACATTCTAAAAATTCCTCATTTGAAGGAGCGTTTAGTGTTTTTGATGTGTAGGAGAGTATTGGCATCTCCATTCTCACAATCCTCTTGCCAGGTCATCTTTGAAAGTACTGCTTCATGCAATATGTCTCAGCTCAAACAGGGTTTTTTTTGCTCAAAGATGGAAACATAAAAATACAGGACTTTACCTCTGATGAGAGAACAGTCATAAAAATAGCCTATGGAGAAATAAAGCCAGGGAAGTTTAATACTTGACGAGGCAAGGAATCCTCTGTTCCTCATATAACATTTACAAAAAAAGAATTTTTTTTTAAATGACCTTTTGTTTCGCTTTGTTTAACAAGCAACTGGAATGAGACTTTGGTGAAGATACCATTGCAAATGAGCAGATTCTTTGAGCGTTCCTGCCTCTGAACTTTGCTTACACAAAAATATTTTGGAAACAAAAACTGTAAAAGTGTTTTCTGACTGCATCACTAGGACACTTATGTATCTGTTTTAAAATCCATTAAAATAATAGAAATTTTTTCCACACATCAACTGGCTTTGATTTAGGCAGTTTATTGAGCCTGATTAACTTGTGATATTGGAAATAAAGTTTGCAAATGTACTATGGACAAACATAGAGAACTTCTCTTTGTGCCAAACCGCTTCAGAGGCTGCAAGGTTATCTAGCAGACCGTACTCCACCATGGCTTTCTTCAAAAAGGTTGCTTCTTTTTTTAGCAATGTATTTCTATTGTAATTCATGCTAGAAGACTGGAGAGAGCTTCAAGCATATAACAGAAGCCACGGCACCCCTCTGAAATTGGTATTGTTCCTTGTTTGTAAATTCTTCCTTGTTACAAGGGATTAGGCTGAGATGGAGAGTGCACACGGCTTACAGTGTTGGCAGCGGGGCTGACAAAAAAAAGCAAAAACAAGCTTCTTCATGTCCAGTCTGTTCTTTTCCTCACTGCTTAACAGAGAAGCACAGCTTGACAATGCATTGCCAGTATTCTGGAAAATTAATCTCTGTAATCGAGAGTTTTTGGAAACTATCTGGCTGTTATCTGCATGGAAAAGCCCTAAATCCAAACCATTTCACATCAAAAAAAGCACAGAAAACCACAAAGTATCTGCAGGACAACTTTAATACCAGGAGAGAACACTTTAAACCACTGGATTTGCCAATATGAATTCACCCCAGATTGCATACCAGCTTGGCTTTACCAATCATGCAGAAGGTCTAGGCCACAGGAAACTTGTTTGGTCATCTCCATTTTTCAAACCTGTGCACATTTCACAAAGCCATTGCCACTGTCAGAAACTGGCATGGACCAGCCCCCGCTGAGACATCATTGAGTGTAACTGCAAAGACCAACCTCACTGGTCAAGGTCAAGCCATGTCACTGGACATACAGGGTGCATCCAGGTTATATGAACATGCAAGAAAACTTCATCCACCCCAAGTGCTCACAACATCTGTGTTGAACCACAAACCCCAACCACCACACTTGTCCGTGGTGTTTGAAGGGTCTCCTTTCCTTCCCACCTTTAAAACAGCGAGCACAACCAATTATCTTTACAGATACCATCATGTCAGATACTTGGTCTCTATGGGACATGGCAATGGACAAACAGCTGTTTCAGCACTGTCCTTGAGAAAGAAATAAAAATAATCTGAGTAGCTTCCACAGGCTTTCAGGAGCAGGGAAAGAGGCATTTAACAAAAATGGTCTGCCAGGAAAGATACTACAGCTACCACAATTTCCTATTCTAAGTACAGGGAAGCAGGGAGATGGCAACATCTCAGATACCATGAAGTGGTGACTAGTGCAAATGTTCATGGTGGCTGGCCAACACGCACTGAAAATATACCAAAGCGCATATGCTGTAAAGAAGACAATGTATGGAATTTTCTGTAGTACAACATTACTTCTCAGTTAAGGCATGAGAGGGGACCAAAAAAAAAAAAAAAATCCCAAGAAAGAAAAAACTCCAACACTTTCAGCTAGGAAAAACATGCTGAAAAAAATACCATAAATACCATTAAGGTAACATTAGTTTCAAGGTATCATTAGTTTCATTAGCCCCTGCAAAAGATTTCAGGCAGCTACACCTCCAACTGAATATTCAAAGTCCACATTACCAGAGCCTGTTGTAGGGAACTATATTTTACAAAAAGTCAGTTTTGAAGTTAATTTTAGCCTAAACTGATCAGTATTTTCAACATACAAAAGACCAAAACTTGGTCTTTTCAGGACAACAGGTTCTATTTTCTATGCATAAAGAAAATCCCTCCTAGAAACAAAAAAACCCCACAGTATCACCTGAATGATGAAATTACAGTTTGCTCTTCCATCAGGACACTAAAAAAAAACCACAAGATGAAAAAAAAGCAGAAAACATTACTAAACCCTCCTTTCAGGTAAAGGAGAAATAATGCAGTGAGCTGAGCAGCCAGATTGTGCCCACACACTTTCCATATAAATCTGAACATTCCGAAACAGCTATTGCAAATGCAAAAGCTGGGGTTTTTTTTAGTTTATCTTTGAGTAATTTATTGACAAAAATTCTGACTACCCATGAAGGTTTTTTATAAAAGATCTTCAAGCTAAGGATATTTTAACTTCTTTAGGTAATGGGATACACATTCACGTCCATTTACTGTAATTGAGCATCTTTGACAACTGTACAAGAACAAGAAGACCAAGGTGTTAGCATTGCTCCTTCCCCACTTTTTTCAAGCAGGCGTGTTTCAGAAATTCATTTGGGACTGATAAAATTCTTGTCAACTTCTCTTCTCTGGAGAAGCAAATACCCTCAACTTTCTCAGCATCCATAGCGCAGAACCAAGCAGCCCTGCCCAGCAGCCTCCCTGGGGATTTTCATACCACTTCAGCAGGTGCAGTGACGGCACAGGGCATATCCCCTTACTTCATTCCCAGAAGACTTTCAGGACATGCAGACCTCCATTCCCTCCTGACAGCAAGGGGCATGCTGGGTCAGGAGGCAGCATGGCTGAAGAACTCTTATGCCAGGCCACCCTGTGCCCTGCAGAGCTCTCTGGAGAGGGCTGTGCAACCATGGTGGGGAGTCAGGGAAAAACAGCAGGGTATGTCTGAGGCCAAAGAGAAGACACACAACCCCACCCATGGCATGTCTCCAAGCTCAGTGAAGAGGGCTTGCTGTAGGCATGGGGTCCCTGGGGACTGCGTTGATCCCATCTCTAAAACATTTATAGCCTGTCTGGGCCATTTATAAATGCTCCAGTCTCCTTTTGAGTAAGCATAGGTTCAATCCCGCTCTCAGTCGAGTCGATGGAAAATTTCCCATTAACATTAATGGTCCCGGCTCAAGCCATAAATTCCTCTAGCTCCCTAGCCACTTGTGCTGACCTTTGCTTAAACTTCCTCAAATTTGTCATCATTTCTGGAAAGCAAGTCCTTCTGTGCTATTTTTCTCTTCACAGTGGTTTCCAAAAATCCTGTCTCTATTATCTGTGACTTTCATCAATACACTCTCACCTCAACGTCGTTGATTATGAACACCACCACTCCTGCAAGGCTCTTCACAGTATCTCTCTCACTCAACCCAATGCAAGGCCGTTGCTCACAACACTTGGTTCGCAGACCTTTGCCAATCCACATAAGGACATGATCAGAAATAATGCAGCTGTAGATCTGAAAAACTACCCAGACTGCCACATTCAACAAAATGGAAATAACATCTTACCAGCATGCTTTCTCCAGCCACCAGTTCTGAAATCTTATCCGTAAGGTCTACCTAGTTTATCTGGCAAGATCTGCTCTTTGTTACGTTCATCATGCTTATATGCATTACAAGACGTAAGTGTTATGGCAGTATGCAAACACCTTGCAGCACCTGCCACATGTCTACTCCCTGCTCAGCGGCAGAGTAACATTGTCCCCATTTTACACACGGGAAGCCCGTAGCGATGGACGTATCTCTCCTGTGAGCTCTGCCCGTGGGCAGGCTGCAATGCACCACATCACACGGCTGCAGCCACGTGGGCCAGGGCTTGCACCCAAGCCTGTTCCAGCCTGTGCTGGCTCCTCCCTACCTGGAAAGCAGCCATAGACAAATCTTAATCACCTGGCAAAGTCACTCGAGAAGGCTGCATGGGTCTCCTCATGTCCAAGGCCAGCATCCCAAACAGCTTTGCTCTTGCCTCACAGGCCAAGTTTCACACTTGGAGCTTAAAAATATGCCTCCAACCTTGCAGCAGACATTTGTGCAGCCACATGAGCTCTGCCCTGTTCTTTCCAGGCCTCAGCGGAGCTGTGGGCTATGGCAAGAGAGGATGATGCCTGCTTCTTCCACACCTTTGGCACCTCCTTCCCCCTTTAATACTTCCAATCACTCAACCCCAAGAAGCAACTTGGTTCTTCCAAATTTGAGGGGGGTTTTTGCACCTCCACAGACCGGTAAGATTTCAGCTGCAATGCAATATGCGTTACTGCGACACAGACTGAGTAAGCCACACCACAGAGAGCAAGCTACTGCTCCTCTTACCTCTCCACAGAGGACTTAGCCCTGCCTTGCTCTTGGTAAGGGCAGTTTCTGGATTGAAGCTACTGGCTTGGCTCAAAGCTCTTGAGAAGTGTTCATCCACTACTGAACCAATGTCTCCCTGGAAGTAAGTGAAAAGGACGCAGCGAGAGTTAAGGTACTCCATCTCGGCAGGCTGGTCTTTCTCATCCTCCTCTTGCTTGCTGGGAAGGGTCACTTCCAGAGACTCCTGCATCTTGTTGTATACAGCTAACTTCTTCTGGGATTAAAAACAAAACAAACAAGAGTTGTATCACTGATGGCCTTCAGTGCAAGCTCAGCATCTGGTTTCCTTAAAGAAAAATAATAGAACACATTGAATATTCATTTCATAATTACAGTTGGAATACAGGGATATTTCGCACCAACATTTCACAAAGAAGAGATTACCAGCGTCACTTAGAGTTTTTATTCCTCACACACAGATGGACCTGCTTCTCAGGCACATTTCACAACCACAATTTAACGGCAAGGGTTTTCACTCAATACCTTCAAAAGAAAACAGACGGGGTCTAACAATTCACTCCTGACTCCCACCTGGAAAGGATATTCCCATCAGTAAAGGCTACAGAGGTCGAGTCCAGCCCTGCGGAAGGGTGGCCAGATACACAATATCTGCATTTCACCCATGTAGCTGAACATGCACCAGGTTTTGCTGGCCACACTCCCCCAGTAGAGAGCACATGGCCCTCTGGATTCCCCACATCTACTCGCTGCTGAAGGTGTAAATATGGGAGAATTTGGTGCATCCTGAAAAATTTTCTACTGTATTATCAAGGTCCACAAAATACATAAATTCTCACTCACTGCCAAGAAAATTTTTATCATAGGAAGCTATACCTCAGGGTGGTGAGTAGGGTTGGGGGAGGCTTTGTTTGCTTGGTTTGGGGTGTTTTTTGTTTTTTCTTTTTATTTTTTTTTCTTTTTATTTTTTAAACATCAGCTTCTAGAAGAAAAGACAAAAATTCAAGTAATAAAAAATGAAACATGTGATCTGGGGGAAGAGGAGGATTGACAAGTCTGCAAACACATGCAAAAAAATCCACCCCAAACCAAAAACACAGAGAAGCATATAAAAAAAATAAATCCCACACAAGCCATCTGTGAATGGCTATTTCAGAATCTTCTCTCTCTCTCAAATCAAACCTAAATGTCAAAATAAATGTGTGTGAAGATCCATTTTGCATGGAACATATTTTTCAGATGTTCCACTTTACAACTGTTTTCACAGAAAAAAAATCTCCCCACAACAGTCAAGCTGCAGGAATCATAGCTTTTAGCTAGCTAGCCATTTCCACAGCTGACTTTACACACCAGCAACTTCAGAAACCCAAAAACAACTACAGCACATATGTAGAAGTATTTCATAGCTTTTCTATAGAATTACAGTTTGACTTATCTTTTATGGTTTGCTTGGCAACACTTTAGTGCCATCAGAATCTCTTTAAGTTTAAGTTTATGGCTTTTTTCCTTTTTTCCAAAGTTGTTCTAAAGAAAAAGTTAAACAACTACACAGTCTATAACGTTCCATTTATACAATAAATAGGCTTGTCTGATTTAGAAATAATTGAAAGTCATTTTCCGATCTTGTATACCATCAGTATTTTTACATTCAGCGCTTTCTAAAATCATATAAACTGATACAAATTCGCTCATTGTGATACAAAACCGATACTCTGGGGCTAATTTTTAATTATGAATTGTTATGAAAAGAATTAATTGTAAGAAAAAGCTGTTGACAAGTGGACTAAAACCTATAATACTAAAAGCTCATAGAAATTAAGCAATGTATCTGACATTACAGTCAGTTAACTGATAAAAATAAAACAACTCAGTAATACATTTAATTCTGATGCTGTTACACAAACTGCAATGAGGGATGCAAGTAATTTTATTTTACAGTTTGGGATATCTAGACAATGGTCTGGAATTCAAGTAAAACTGTACTTCACAAAGCAAGTTATACCGTGGCTCTGCTTAGCACAGTATTACTTATTTAGACATACTGTTTCATCCCAAAATTCTATAATATCTGAAGAAAAACTGGGGGATTCACTTTAAAAGAAGAAACAAACAAAGATGGAAACAGCAAATTAAAACAGTTTTACGAGAACCTAATTGCTAAAAGGAAACAGTCTGAGGCCCTGAAACTAATTTTTGCAAATACAGAATTGGGAGTGACCTATACTTTTTTGTAAATGCTTTGTGCCTTCTGTAAACAAACAAAGTCTCCTAATATTTGTTCCTGAAATGCTTACTAAGATATCACTCATAGCGAGCTTCATGGTTTTGCCTAAGTAATCATGGAATGATGAGACTTCATTAAGACAGAAATGGTTATAACAGTATTGCATATACAGGAGATACATGCATTGGAAATCTGTAACACATCTACTTCAGTGACTTGATCATTCTTGAAGATGCGCCATAACCCAGATCCTCTTAAAAATGCAAGACAAGTGGCTGGGGAGTGTGGTTTTTTCATTTTTGTTTTTGGTTGGGTTTTGGTTTTTGTGTAGAGACAAAATGTGAAAGAGACACTTTATAGACGTCTAAATAGGTATTGATATATTACATTATCTCAGGTGCAGTGTGTATGCCAGACCTTGAATACATGCAACACATTTAAAAGTTGACTTCTGTCATTATAGGTACACTATTTGTATTTATACTGTGAGTGTGCAAATACGTATACAAGCACGCAATTATATACAGAAACACATCATTTAATATAGCCCCTGGCTTGACTTGGTTATCAGGAAGGAAGTCTTTCAATGTTCCTATATAGAGACTAGAGCTCAGGAAATTAAAACTTATCTCCAGAGTCGCTTCTCTGTGCAGGAATGTTCCCCCTTCCACAGCCTAAGAATCTAATTCATTTTCCATTTCAACTCTCTTCCCTCCCCTCCAGTCCATGGGCAGACATTACAAGATATTCTGAGCACTTGTTGGTTTTGAAAACACCAAATCTGACTACTATTTTTTTTTCTTTTATGTAAAAAAAACCCCGATGGTAGTACCAATGGACAAATACAAGGCCTTGTGTACGGACTAAAGATTTACAGTGAAAAGTTGTGGTTTGTGGTGAGTTTTTGCAAAGGATGAGAGTTCTAAATTAAAAGATTTTTCAGAACTGCATCAAGCTTGTGATCAGACACAGATCTACTTAATTTGTATTTCAGGAAAAAATTATCAGCCTGTAATTACAGGACTCTAAGAGACTATAGTGAGATAAAGCAACCCAAGAAGTTTTCCTTGTACGCAACGTATATACATCCTTTCCATTGTATACATCCTTTAATAATGTTTTTTCTCCCCCTAACTCCCTTAAAATACCCTGCCTGCACAAAAATACTGTCTTACTTGTTCTGACCTTAACAGCAATCTTCTCACAGCATTTCTGACTGCACTTGTGTGAGTGGAAAAGTATGCAAGATCATCAACTGCTAAATGAATTTGTCCCACCATCATGGGGTGGGGGAGGTGGGGGAGAATAAAACAAAACAAACAAAAAAAAACGGGTCAGGTTTCTGAAAAGTACTCTGGGCTAGCCCAGTTTCACTTGTACTTTTTTCATACGAACAGCTTTGGATATATTTAAGCAGCAAACAGTATCTATAAGATCTTTACAAAGAGTCTTTGCTGACCAAACACAATGTTGTTTCTTCTCTGTGTTCAGATCTCCAATACTTTCACATATTCATGAATTTCACCTCTCTCTTCCTTAAAAACTAGAGACTGAGATTAAGCAGCCTCTGAAAAACAGAACACACACACAAAATCACACCTTGGCCAAGACCCAGAATACAGAATTAAAAGTCACCTTAGAGTACAGGGAAATTGGGAAATCCAACGTCTATTGCACCTGATGCCAGCTTAGATAATAGACCCAAGTTCGTGGCTGAAGGATGAATGGTACAACCTCCGGGTAAATAATGTTGTACAGCATGGGCTGAATTCAGCTTAAACCAACATTATTTTTGTTATGTCATATATTCACAAACAGGCTCTTCCAAAGAGAATTTAAACTCTTACTGCAAGTTGTCTAACAAAAGGAAACTAAAGATCAATAGCAAATCACCACTCATACAGCAATATTAAAGAGAAAGTTTATGCTGGGTAAGCATTATCGTCTTCTGGAGGAAGAATGACCACTTTTAGACCAAGAAAGCATGTGGTCCAAAATCTCACGAAAAAACCCCGTCTTGAAGATGCCTGTTATTTTCTGACATACCCTATCCAGAACCAAGGAAAACGGTTCTCATGCAGTGAAATTCTGGCCACATTAAAGCCAATGGCAAAAGTCCAACTGACTTCAAGGGTCCCGGATCTCACCCAGAGTGTCTGGTAAAAATGTCAGAACATTCCTCTTTGCAAATTGAAAAAAATTCACTTCCAGCTGAAACCACCTAGTAGGCAGCGAAACAGAAAAACAACCAAGCACAGTTTGAGAACGGAGAAAGTTTTAGTTTAGCCAAGTTTGAATTGAAAATTCAGGCCAGCTCTTATTTTACATATAAGCTGGTTGCCTATTCCTACCACTTATTATCTTCATACATGCCATCATAAAGCATATGGTCCTTTATGTTCCCAAGCATGAAAGTCTGGTGTGCCTGTGGCCACCTGTTACAGATTTTCCATTATGGGAGAAAGAACAGGAACCAAAAATAAAGAATAACTACACTGAGGAAACACTATATGACCCTATCCTGAGAAAAAGGCTGTCATTTGACATAAGCTTCTGAGAAAGAATTTCAGCAACAAACTCCAGGCAAATCATGGACAGTCCTCCATTTGTGGAGCTGTCTGCCAAGCAGGCTCCTATTGATAACACAGAAAGTATTCAAGGAAGAAGACAATTTCAAGCAATCAGAGCATGGAATGCTGGGCCTGGAAGCAGTATTTACAGCATGCCCTGAAAACATGAAATGCTAACTTCTACCCTCGCAAATGAGCAAGCCGAGAGCAAAGCTACATGCTTGCTTTCAGGTGAGCCACTGGATTTGCAGCAGTAGAGACTGGAGCTCCTGCTGTGCTCTGCTGATGGAGGGAAGTGACAGAAAAAGAATGCATTTATACATCTTTTGCTGTACATCGAAACAGAGGTGCACCATTAGAGTCCAGAGCTCTATTTGTATGTAGATAGAGGAAGACCAAATGGAATTTGGTCCCAATCAGAACAACAAAGTAAAGCAAGCCAAACTTTTTAAATCAGCAGTT